TTCTTCTTCCTTCAATACTTATACATTTTATGTAGTGATTCATTTCTTTCTAAATCAACAAGTTAGCAACTCCTAAATTTTGCAAGCCAATAATTCCACTAAATTAACAATAAATTTTGTAACACAGATCTAGTAATTGTACTTTAAGAGTAGCTTCAAGGAAACCAAGAAAAGGAGTAGCAATTTGAGGAAAGCATGGTACAACAAAGCCATGTATCTCATCATCAACCTCCACCTCTAAAAAAAGGTGCATGATTTCTATTAGGTAAATCACCAGCCCAATTTAAAAGGAGAAAAAGGAAAAGAAGAAACTTCAAGTACACCAAACTTTAAATACTTGGAGACAAAGACTCACAAAGAGAAACAATTCTCCATATCTTAATCTAGCCTAATGTTTTCAGGGCGTTAAGAGACTAGGAGTTCATAGGACATAGCCAACTTAATGCAGATATTATTTTCACTTATTCCCCTACATTGTATAATCACTATCTGACATGCTTTCTAACGTTTTCATTACATGCATGTTCCCTTTCATTAGCTTTGTGCTTTCTTCACCACAAAAAAAATCATTTTAGCCTTAGAAAGACAAATAATAGTTTTAAAAAATTGCACCTCCTGAAATTGACTCAATAACCTTGAGATTGAGAGTTCAAACTTGAGGGTAGCTTTTTGTAAAAATAATATCAAATGTTAAGTATGTACCCATATTACCCTATTGGAAGCCAATAATGGAGACTTAAATGTTTGTTATGGTCAGAGGACAAGTCTGAATGCAACGACAAGGTTGTAGACTTGGGCGTCACAAATTCGAGTCACGGTAGTAGCCTCTATATATATTGGGGTACAACTGCATGCATCCGACATTTTTCAAATCAAGTAGTGATGACATCTCGTTCGCTGGTATGTCTTTCTTTACCATCTTGGGATGAGGTTCCATGAGTGGGGCAAGATCAAGAGAAGTTGGGTATTACAAAAAATGAGTGGCAGGAGTGCAAAAAAAAAATAGAGAATGCAGGAGCACTTATTACCAACTTTGTTGCCTAAGAAGTAATGGTCACTCCAATAGTAGTCTCTATTGGTGCTATTGTGTCAATGATGCCAGTTGTGGAGGCTGTATTGATACAATAGGAAACCCTAATGCAAAGTCTATATTAACAGATGTCAGAAAAAGAAGACAACACCTGGCAAGGAGTTTGAAATAGATGAGGAGGACTAATCACCTACTAAGAGCGATTTAGCCTGAGATGAGTTGGCCATCAGATGTTTGAAGGTTGTGAGTTAGACCTATATCACCTCGGTCTACACATTGACCAAACTTACTCTATCACTCCATGATGGGTTAATCGTTGAATAAATATTAGGCAAGTATAGAGATATCACTAGGGGAGCATACCAAAGAATAGGGCTTATAAGTTCTCATTGTGCTGTTAGTGGCTTATATTGTGCATCCACTTCACAACCATACCCTAGCCACCTTATGTTTCGATAAATTGCAAGTCATATAGAAATGGACAAACTGCTAAGGGAATAAGGCATTCATGGGCAGTGATTACAACAAAGAGTTAAAATAGCCTCTGCAACTTCCAAATCCAAACACCAGGTTTACTTAACAGAGTTGGATACGTTCCAAAAATAAATGGAGGTTGCAAAGTACTGTCTGATGAAAATGGAACTGCAACAATTGGTTTGGAAAAAGGGGACAGACACTTGTGATGTGCATAGGATATTGGACATGATACTTGATTTTGTCTAATCTTCCTTTTGTTCTCTAACTACTTATATTCCTCCTTCCTATGGTTGTAACGACGTTGTAATGATAACGGTACAAACACAAAATAACGAAATAGTAATGAAACCAAGAGTATGATTTTTTTTTTTGGAATTCACTCCATAAAAACTCAATATAAACGGGCATCAAATAAATATATTTTGTGGTTGGTATGGATTGATGAAAAGCAACCAATAATAGCCACTCTTACTTGAATTTTGTGTAAAGTGCATAACACCTAATCTTCCATCCGATATAGAACTTCAAACCATCCTTCAACTACAGGCTCTAGACTCTACACAAAAGTAGTTAAATTTTGGACTTCAAATATTCAGCAATATTTCAAAAAACAAGAATGTTTAAAGATGGGACTAAATTTTGTTTTCATTTACAAAACTCAAATACTCTTATCCTCAACTTCAGGTATGTTTCGTTTCCAAATCTACAACCCTCTCTCCCCCTTAATCGCTTCTTGCGCTTCTTTTAAACAAGATTTGGTATTTGGACACCATGCTTCTTCTACTACTACATTTTTTTTTCTTAACTTTTTTAGAAAAAACAAAGATAGGTGAAGAATGAGATACATAACAGGCTGTTACGGTGTTACAGCGCCGAAACAAAGCTGTAACACCTGTTACGGGTGAAAACATTTCTAACTACTAAATCGAAATGTAACAATATCAAAGGCTACCAATAGAGTTACATAACAGCTGGCCTAGTAACTGTCGATTTTTAAAACTATGCTCCTTCACCGCCCCCCACCAACCAACACAATGTGTGTGTGTGCAACTAGTCCCAGTACACTCATAGATGCCATTGTAGTTAATGTGTGGTGCCTTTTTATGAGTTTTATTACATTCGTGATTCATCTTATCGAGGCAATTTCAAATATAGATGACGCTGATGTTTCTATATGGCAAAGACTTGAATTATTGGAGAATTTGTTAAATTATTTAGGCTAGGATTTGAAGGTAAATAAATGTAAGATCTTGCTTGGACTAGTAAGCACTGTTAACCTCTGTACATGGATGGGGTCAGGGTGTATGCACCCATCTGGGATCACACTTTTGAAATAAGTTGTGACGGAAGCTTCTTCAATGTGCAACTTCCATTCCACTGGGACATGTTCAATTCCAGAAGTGACAGGAGAATGTAGCATTTAAAAGCAGGTCACTAGTTCACTATCTCAAAGAGGAAGGAAAATTGCAATGTAGGCGGGGGTTTCCGAGGAATACAAATAGACTTTGGTTTTTTTTCAGATTTGGCGAGCATCTAGAATAACTAGTGAATTACAATTTTATTGTGCCAATTGGTGCATTGGTCTTTGCAGCGTTAATGTTTTTTGCTGGTTGGTTTCATTATCATAAAACTGCTCCAAAATTGACTTGGTTTTCAAGATGTAGAATCTATGTTGAATCACCATTTCATTTTAAAGGGACTTTAAATACTATAAGAGGTCATCCCAATTTCCAGCAATGTCCTCAAATTTGAAATATTCAATACATTCTTTTTTTTAATATATAGGATATGCATTTGTAGGGAGACCCTACATCTGGGAAAAAAAGTGAATTGGATATTCCAAATTTGACATGAGCTCCCTACTTTTTTGGATTATGAAAATTGGCCATGCACCACTTATCATACTCAATTGAAAAAAAAATCAACTTACAGTCCACGAAGACAAAGTATAAGATCCAAGTATACAGAAAATAATTATAGCTAACTATTCCAAGACACAGATCACGTAATCTTTACAAACGATATCCAACAGATTTATGCTGTGATGGCAACATGGATTTGAGCAAAACTTAGCTCAATATTTGAACTAGTTACTCCCCCAATCAGATTTTGAAGAGCTGGATCCACGCTGCCAAACACCTTACCTCAATCGAAAATATTCAATTCACAAATAAATATGTATTTAAACCTTTGCAGCATATACAAAAGGCTCAATTGAAATCAAGAAAAAACCACAGAAATAGTTTATTTATATGGGTTAATATATAAGTATGTTTGTATCGTACATGTGTGCATTAGAAACCCTAAAAATATGAGAGAGAGAGAGAGAGAGAGAGAGAGAGAGAGAGAGAGGGGCGAGAGAGACTTACGATCTCGACCACCACGAACGCCACCTCTAGAGGGATGATACATTTTCTGACTCCAAGCTAGATAGCTTCAACTTTTTCTGGTAATCTGCGACTAGATGGGATGAACTCGAAAGTTTATGATGGGCATAGACGTATAGTCGTGGATGGAAAAAAACGATGAGAGTCGCTTTGCAGAAAGGCCCCTAAACTTCTAATAATTTATTTTGGACTTCATTTTTTTTTAACCCTTTTTGTTTTTGATGCATCGCTCTACTTTAAAGCCAAACCATGATCAGGATCAGGATATCCCGAGTTTTTTATTCGTCTATCATTTTTTTTTTGATTTTTTTGTCAAATTATAATAATTTTATTGAAATATAATTCTATAAAAAATTAAAAACAATTTATATCAATATATCCCTAGGTAGGGCTGTCAATTTTCGACACGACACGTTAACACGACAAGAACCGAACACGAAATAAATGGGTTGAATACGAAATTAAATGGGTCAATGGATAAAAACGGGTCAACACGTATAAACACGAAAAAAAAATAAGTTGAGTTTATGTCGAAATCATATCAACTCGATTTTGACCTGATGAACCCGTATATTTTAAACAGGTTAATATAATTTGACCCGAACCTGACCTATCCATTTCTTACCCGTTTAACCCATTTATCCAAATATATAAAAGCAACAAAAAAAAAACTTAACCCTAACCCACTCCTACTTTTCCCCTTTTTCACTCTCAGCCACCGTTAGTCGCTTTGTCCGGAGGAGTAGAGGAGAACTCACTATTCAAGCCATTGTTGTTCTTGTCGTTCATGCCTTCACCGTTGCTCAACCAAAAAGGTTTGTCCCTCTCTCTCTCTATGTCGTTGTGTTATCTCTTTCTCTCTGCACGCTGCGACTCAATCAAAATGTAAACACAGTCAGATTCGGATCACAACACACAACACTCATACATTCCCTTGGCTATGTAGTATTTTCCCTTAACTCATTTTTCTCTACTTAACGTTACAAGTTGTGTTGGAAGTTTGTGTAATTTTTTTTGTATTTTAACCAAAAATGTACTACTTTGTATGTGTGTCATATATTTTGCTTACATATATTTTTTTTTTTTGGCATTTGTGTTGGGAACAGATGAATTCACTTCCATTGAATGATGAACACATTGATGGACCTATCCCTGTTGCTGATGATGTTGCCATGGCTGAAACAAATCATGCTTCTGATATTCAAGATAGGCTAGAACTGGATGGTGTTGATAAACCAACAAATAAACGTTAACGAAGGTTCACCTCAAAAGTATGGAGAAACTATATTTTTCTTAAAGAACAAAGTCCAGAAGGATTGCTGAGATGTGAATGTAAGAAATGTAAGCAAGTTTATAATGTTGATAGTAAGCACGACACTGAGAATTTCAAGCGACACACTGCAACTTGTTTGAAGCGAACCACCTATGATATTGGTCAACTACTTGTAACCCATTCCAATGGTGCTTTGGGATCTAGGTCTTTTAAATTTGATGCAAGGAAGTTTAAAAAGTTATTGATTTGTGCAATTGTTAGACATGAACTTCCATTTCAATTTGTTGAGTATGGTGGCATTATAAGTCTTTTCACCTACTTATGCCCCCAAGTCATACAAATTTCTAGGAATACTGCTAGGGTGGAAGTTATTAAAATGTATGCTACAGTGAAAAGGAGGATTTCTCAGGAACTGCAAGACTTGCCTGGTAGGATTTGTTTGACTTCTAACTTATGGACTTCTATTGTTAATGATGGTTACTTGAGTCTCACTACACACTACATTGATAAAGATTGGGTGTTGAAAAAGAAAATTCTGAATTTCTCTTACATGTCTCCTCCCCATACTGGAGTTGCTTTGTGTGGGAAGATTTATAGTTTGTTAAATAGTTGGGGTATTGTGAAAAAACTATTTTCACTTAGTTTAGATAACGCAGCTGCAAATGATGTGTTGGTTGATTTGCTTAAAAATCAACTTAATCTGCAAGATGCATTGTTGTGTGATGATAGTTAATTTTATATCCGTTGTTGTGCTCATATTTTGAGTTTGATAGTTCAAGAAGGTTTGAAGGAATAGGTGAAGTTGTTGAAAAGATCCGAGAATGTGTGAAATATGTAAAGGGATCTCAAGTTAGGAAAAAAAAGTTCTTGGAATGTGTTGCACAAACATATTTGGATAGTAAGAGAACTTTGAGGAAAGATGTTCCAACTAGGTGGAATTCAACCTATCTCATGCTTGCAAGTGTCATTTACTATCGTCGTGCATTTTGTCATTTGCAGTTAAGTGATTCTAATTTTAGACATTGTCCAACTCAAGAAGAATAGGATAGAGTGCAAAACATTTGTAGGTTCTTAGAATCTTTCTATGATGCTACTTGTGTTTTTTCTAGTTCCAAGTATCCTACCTCAAATTTGTACTTTCTAGAAGTTTTCTTGATTCAGCTTAATTTAAGTGAAGAGATGAAAAGTTCGAATGTTTTCATGAGGAGGATGGCACATCAGATGTTTGGGAAATTTGATAAGTATTGGTCGTAGTATAGCTTGGTTTTGGCTATTGCGGTGATATTTGATCCTTGTTATTCAGTTTGTGGAATTTCCCTATAAGAAGCTTTATGGTGATGAATCATTTGAGTTCATTCGTGTTTGTGAGAAGTTATTCTTTTTGTTTGATGAGTACATGCACAATTCTTTTAAGGCTAGTTCTTCACAGACATCAGTTTCTCAGGACGTAGATCATGGTTCTCGTGGTAGTCAACAACATTATAGCATGAATCAGATCAAAGCTAAACTTATGGTGATATGATTTTTTTAATTTACTTACATTGAGTTACTAATTTAGTATTATATGATATTAAGATTGATTCTCTTTCAACTTGTTTTGTCTTCTTGAACATAGGAATTTGACTTTTATGAGAGTGAAACATTCATTTGTAGTGCATAGAAAAGTCAATTACAATTTTATTTGGATGAGCCCAGGGTTGATAGAAATGAAAAACTTGATGTACTTGCTAATTGGAAAGCTCACCAATTTCGTTATCTGAAACTTGCTCTAATGGCTCGTGATGTGTTAAGTGTTCCCATTTCTACGGTTGCTTTAGAGTCTACATTTAGCACCGGTGGTAGGGTTCTTGACTAGTATCTTAGTTCTTTGAAGCCGGATGTTGTTGAGGCTTTGATATGCACAAAAGATTGGTTGTTTGGAGAAAGAGGTAAATATAAGTTATGTGATTGCTTTAGAATTTGTGTTTTAAAGAATGAAATCTTAATTCTTATGCATGTATATATTTGTTTCATTTTAGATCCTGTACAAAATGATTTGGAGGAAATTATAGAAAATATGATGAATATCAATATTGAGCAAGATGGTTCTACTATGACTAATGATGATCATTGATTGAAGATACATCGTTATTTTTAGTGTTTAATCTATTAGTTTGTGTTTGTCTTGTTTTGCTTTTCTGATTGAAGTATTTCTTCTTTTGATTAGGACCTGTGAAATGTCAAAGTTTTGTGTGCAACCGTGCCTTGTTGGAGGAGCAACAATTGCTTATTTTGTTCATATTTCATGTAGCATGTCAATAGCAAGTCATCTTTTAGAATATGATCTCAAAAATGACTTGCTATTGCTTTTGCTTATTTGCTACTGCTTTTGTTTTATTATTCCAGCATATTTTGTATATTATATGAATAGTTGATGTGGAACATGTGTTCTTTAACATAATGGAAGTATATTAGTATAGTTCTTGTATTAATTTTTGGATTGAAACTTGATCGCATTTTAGTTAAATAGGTTAAATAGGTGCAGGATCAGATTTGAGATATTTGAGATGCAGTAGGATCAGAGATCAGGATGAGAGATGCGATCAGAGATAAGGAATTAAAATTCTAATGCATGATGCATGAATCTAGCTGAAGGAGTATGCTCTAGCTGTAGGCAAAAGACTCCAGCTGAAACAAAACAGACAGCAGGTGAGAAGCAGTCCAGAGGAAATAGCTGAATAGAGTCTAGCTGAACATGCAGTGCAATTGAAGCAGACATCGCAGACAGCGCAGTGCAGTTGACGTTTGTTGTTTACTGTTTTTTTTCCTTTTTTTTTGTGTGGCTATTTTAACTAATGGATTGTATGCAATCAGGTGAGATATCCAGATCGTATAACTCTTATTAGAGGGAACCATGAGAGTCGCCAAATTACACAGGTTAAGTCTTATTTATTGATTTTCTAACTGAATTTTACATATCTGCCTGACATATTTATTGGCTATCCTCCTTTTTTAGGTATATGGATTCTACGACGAGTGCCTACAGAAGTATAATTCTCCTCTTTTTTCTTTTTACTCAACCACTATATCTTTAATGCACATTTAGATCAGCTTACACAACAGGTGCCCTGGTTTTCATTTTGTCCATGTCGTGGTGTGTTTTAAACCATTTAAACTTCACTTTTAACTAAACTTTCTACTTCAATGTGACTCACTCCAGTTTGTCGGCTCTTATTGAAAACAAGATATTCTCTGTTCATGGTGGTCTCTCTCCTGCCATTTCTACGTTAGACCAAGTCTGAGAATTTGTCTTGTATTATTTAATTTATTTTTTGAAGCCTTATTTAGGAAATTAATGTTGGCTACTTTCCAGATTCGAACAATTGATAGAAAGCAAGAAGTACCCCATGATGGTGGCATGTGTGACCTCTTATGGTCAGATCCTGCAGATATTGTTGATGGTTTGTGGCTTAACTTCTTACAAAATTGTCCTATGATGACAGCTAAATTGCTAATGGGTGCATATAGAGTGATTTTCATGGATGATATATCAACTGGGCTTGATAGTTCAACAACACATCAAACTGTTAATTATCCTAGGCACACAACTCATGCTTTTGATGGGACTACATTCATTTCACTCTTGCAACCAGATCGAGATGTTACCAGTTTTGAGAACCAAAAATGTATCGTAGTTCTTGATGATCATGAATGAATTGTGTAGGGTATGTGGGGGCATAAGAGGTTGCTGCTTGCTGGTCTTGTTGGAGCAGATTTGGAGTTGGAATGATTGTGCAGGCATTGAAAGTGGCTGTTTTTGTTGCCCATAGAAGAAATTTATGATTTTTTTTCTTCATGTTTTGAAGGATTAAAGCTATTTAATTGGAAATGGATATTAGGAATTGATTTTCTTTTGCTTCTTGTAATTCTTTGAATTTTATTCAATAAAATCTTTCCATTTTTTTTAAGTTGTTAAACAAATAGAATTTGATGTGTGGGTTAAACTGGTTGGGTTAAACAGGTTAACATGTTGTGTAATATATTAACTTAAAAATGATCTGTTTATTAAACGTATCAAACATGTTAAGTTCAGGTAACACGTTTAATGGCTAAAATCAAACAAAACTCAAATTCCCATGTAAGCATCTCTTTCACTCTTTTTTATCTCTCCTATCTAATTGTCTTTTAGATCCTCACTCCATGTAGATCCCCTGCCATCTCTTCTCCACCCCAATCCATCACAAAATTGTAAAAATAAAAATAAAATAATAAAGTTAAAGGGGCACAAAATTTCGGCGTATGTCTCAGTATAATGATGCACGTGACAAAGTCATGTGCGCGACAAAGTCATGTGCGCATCTAGAATGTGAACAGTTTAAAGCAATGCCAAGATCAAACCGAGCTAATTTAGATCGAGTTAAGACTAAAATAATTCAGTAGGGATATTTATATAATCAGATCGAGTTTCCCTGAGAATGTGAAAACAGCTCGGACCGAGTTAAGTAATTGGATACCTATTATTCATGGGTAAGGTATGTAAGTTACTGAAAATATAGTAAACAACATCAATAATTTTTGTAATGCCCCAAAATTTACTCTGCACGACATTAACTACCTATATAATATCCAACCATGAGAGCATAATAAATTACGATTAAATAAATAAAATCATGCATAATTTAACATCTGATTAGATAAATCCAAAAAAAAAACATAAATCAACTATCAAATATAAACTCAAAAAACTAAAATTCATTCTCAAACTTCCACAGCTAGATCCACGTCATGATCCCCCTCAGCAACCCAATCTATCAGCTCATCTAACTCTAGATTCTTCTCAACACTAAAATATGAAAAAAGTTATGGTAGGGTGAGCAATAAAGCGCAATAGAAAAATATTCTCGAACCCAAGCAAGGTTTAAAAATCATTAAAACGGGTAAGTCACACTTTATAGTTTTGAAGTAAAACAATGACATTTAATGAGATCTCAAGTCTACGGTACCAAATAGTAAAGTTTACAGAAGTAAAACTCATTCCCACAACAATTATTCACAAATATTATATCTTATGTACCCAGGTAGACTAGTATGAAACTACAACACGAACATATCTGGTCCACACCATACCACAACATAATCAAAAACCATCAAATTAATCCTCGCAAGGTCATAAAACTTTAGGAAAGACATATATCAACGCATTGACAGTGACGAATCCTTTTCAGAACTAGTATACTAACTTCCAGTCTTGATCATCGTGAACGAATATTAGTTTGGTTATCGCAAGACACCAACCCCACTACGAGTGATAGGAAATCTTCAAACCCTTCGAGGTAAGAAAAAATATCTAAACACTCTGTGATATAGATTCAAGTGTAATTCACGTTCATCGCACCCACCCATGCAAAAGATAAATTCCACAACTTTTTCATAAAATCTAACGACAACCAAGAATCATGGTTTCATAACTTTTCCAAAGAAATTATTCAAGAAAACATTCAAGAAATCCCTAATAAAACATATTTGAATTGATAGTAATCAAAAACTAGGATTTTTTGTAATCAAGACAAGTAAATTTTGTTGTAAAACACGTGTAGATTAGGTTATAAATCAAGAACCAGGGTTCTTCAATTAAACATATGATTTTTGGAGGTAAAATATTTATTTATATATAAATAATCCATTTATTCAAGAATTTAAGAATATATTAAAAAATAAAAACTTTATAGATCTATCACATATATAGAATAAGAGTCAAAAAACTAGATTTGAAATCAATAATGGATAGATCTTTGAAGCAAATCATGTATTTTGTTCAATATACGAATTATGGATTCAAACAAATGTACAAGCATTGTAGATCAATTATTTATATGAAAAAATATATTATATAAACCAAAACATCAATAAATGAATTTGAGAAAAAACTCCTACCTTGATTCTTGATATCTTGATTCTAACATCTTTTGTTACGATTATCACGTGTTAATCTTTTAAGATTCAACTTGTGCTTCCTCCTTTTCTTCTCCTAAAAATTTCCTAGGTTTCTTGGGGTTGAAAAGATATGTAAAGACTCTTTAGATTATGGCCCTAGGGTATTTATAGGCTTAAAAATGGAGAATTATCATGTGGGGCACGGGTAGCAGTATGCCCCTGACTTTCAATTCAATTTTGACCTAATTAGAAGTTTATTCACAAAATGTTCATGAAATACACTTTTCTATCCTTTGAAGTCTAGTTTCTACTGTAAAAATTTCAGGTCAATCGGATATTAGGATAAAATTTATGATCTAAATACTAAGGTAGTATCAAATTCGTTCTACCCATAACCTCTCCAAAATAGGTTTTAACTCTTGAATACTTCTGCAATTCTAATACACCCCATATAATCTCTCCCAAGATTTTTTTGACTTATGTTATTTCCCTCTAAATATATTTTAGAACTTAACTGAATTTAGTCCTACTAAGATTGACCATCTCGAAACTTTAATATTCTCAATATATCCACATTATTCTATGATTACTACTTACATAGTTTATTCATACTTAATTCATTATACATCAACAAAACACATGATAATTTAATATAACTAATAGTTAGTTGGATGCTTATAGTTTTGAAGAAGTAGCTGATTTGAGAACGTTGCAGAGATTTTAGTTAAAGTGACCCTAAATTCAACGCAAGAGGGATGTTCCACCTCGCCTTGCAAACAAGGAAACTCTAAATGATGAAGACCAAGACATCCTATAAAAGGAACTAGAACAACTTAGGAAGAGATACGCACAAAAATCCCTACATTTGCCTTTGTCTCGAACCCTTACTGACTTAAGCATTAGAGTGCCTTCGACTGGTTCACTCCGGTCTTTGGCGATTTGTTCGTTTTATAGAGGGAATTGAACATTATACCATCAAGTCATCCATAACCAAATTATTTTTTGTAAGAGATAATTCTTTTTTACCTCTTACAATTGGTATCGTCTGTGGGAAACTATTGAACAAAAAAGCAATGTCAAGGTTAAGAAGCACTATCAGATCTCCGGTGAGCCATGATGTTGATCGAAATATCGATCTAGTGATATCCAAGATGGTGCATTCGAAAGCTAGGACAAAAGTCCTGATGATGATAACCTATTCTCGACTAGCTATAAGCTCGAGGACAAAAATAATTAGGAAGACTTACGCCATAATGGGTCCCTTCGTGTTGAGGGGGAAACTCCCGTTCTCATCAAACTAATTCGATCTCTCCAAGACCGGCTAGATGCGCATGACGCCATGTTCAAAATGTCATACAATAGAGAAAAAGCACTAAGGCAAGAAAATAAAACATTGAAGGAAGATTTGAGGAGGTCTAGGGAAGGAGATGTCCCTGAAAGAAAAGAAACCCATGCAGAAAATGATCAAGGTCAAAAACATCAAGGTAGAACTCCTAAAAAGAATGGGCCGAGACAAAGAGAATATTCTTAGGAAGCCCCAAAAATATATAAGCCCAGATGAAGAGAGGATTTCCAAGTAATTAACGATAAGAGAAAGTCCCATCACATAAAGAACCAAGAAAATGCTTGGTGTTAAGGAGAATTAACACGATACTAGAGAGAAACGAAGAGTGGTCAATACTTAACCTACCTCTCACAAAATTCTTTTTTATTTATAATTAATTTGTAATAATACAAAAGACATATATATCCTCTAATATTTACACATAATACCCCAATACTTTTAACACTCCCCCTCAAGCATATTCCAAGCTTGGAACAAATTGTTGTAAGACATGTACGACTCAATGCTTTAGTAAATATATCTGCAAGCTGATCTTCAGATCTCACAAATGTAGTTGTAATCTCTCTATCTACTATCTTGTCTCGAATAAAATGACAATCAACTTTAATATGTTTGATTCTCTTGTGAAACACTGAATTTTCAGTGATATGGATAACTGTCTAATTGTCGCAAAATAACTATAAAGGAAGTTGGAGTGGAAACCCAATTTTTTGGAGAAAGTGCAGTAACCATGTCAACTCACTCGTTGTATGTGTCATTGCTCTATACTCAGCCTCAACACTAGATCTTGCAACTACGAGTTGTTTCTTGCTCTTCCATGTAACAGTGTTATCTCCTAAGAAGATACAATAACCAATGGTTGATCTCCAATCATATGAAGATCTAGTCTATATCTTAATACTCTTAACACTTGAAAATGCTTTATTATAGAGGAACTCAATAACAAATTGAAGCGACCTGAACAAAAATCCACGAGGGAGTTAGCAAGAAGAGCATCTGGGGAGTACATTAGAGGGGTGGAGGTATCACCTTTTATAAGGTGGATTGAACAAGAGAGGATTCTGAGTAAATTCACTATATCGAATGTTAGATTATATGATGGCAAAATGGACGCAACTGCCCAAATTCGACATTAAAGACAATTGATGACAATTCATAGGAAAAATAAGGCTCTATTATGTAATATATTCCCTAGCAGCTTGGGCGAGTCAACAATAAAATGGTTTGATAGCTTCCCTAAGGACTTTGTTGACAACCAGGGACAACTGGTTGAACAGTTCACGACATAGTTCATTACTAGCAGTTGACAACCTAAAGATGTCGGGGCACTAGTTTCACTAAAGAATAGAAATGGAGAAACACTACGGGAGTATGCTCATCGATATTGGAAAACGATGAATGAGATTGAAAGTTATAACCTTAAGATTGTAATCAAG